GGGAAGTTATCTGGGCCATGGAGCTCAGTTCAGAGAATTTTAATGGAAGATTTGAGAATGAGAAAGGTCACTGAAAATTGCGCCTCGGGTTCAGACTGACCAGGAAAAAGAGCAGCAAGTGGAAACATGCTGTGCTCTCGAAAGAACAGATCTGAAGAAACCCTGACTTTTTTCCCCCCAAGGTCATTCAATACTGGTGACAAAACATGGTGTTATTCTTAAGACCCTGAAAGCAAACATCAATCAAGCCAGTGGAAGGTGCTATCCTCACCTGGCCCAGAAAAAGCTCATCAAGTGAAATCAAAGATCAAGATGATGCTCATTTGTTTTTGTTTTTTTGATGTGATGGGATCGTGCATTTGGAGCTCATTCCACCATGTCAGACTGTTAATCAAGCTTTCTATTTAGAGGTTAGATTGCCTAACAGTGTGTGTGTGTGTGGGGGGGGGCGGGGAGCCTGCTTTGTGGTCACAACACTGGTTTTGCCACAACAACATACCTGCTCACGCAGCCATCTCGGTGCACCAGTTTTTGGCAAAAAAAGCAGCATGCCTCTGTTGCCCTACACACCTGACTCACCTGTCCTTGCTCCATGGGATTTCTTTTGTTTCCAAGAATTAAGAGGGATTTGAAAGGACAGATATTTGAGGGCAGAAAAGAAAAAAAATCCCCCCCCAAAAAACAAAAAAACAAGGGAGGTGCTGTCAATCATCCAAAAAGATTAGTTTGAAAAATATTTCCAAGAATGGAATAGCAGATTTGACAAATGTATTTAGTGTAAGGGAGAGTGCTTTGAAGGTGATAAGGATGTTTTGTAAAAAAAAAAAAAATACGTTGCTTTGAGAAAAAATTCCGTTTTTAAATTGTCAATGATTTATTCACTAGGTAATTAATTCGATAAGTATGTATAGAACTTCTGCTCTATTCCAGGAATATCACCCCAACCAAACAAGGCTGCTGCACTCATGGAGTGTCCTTTCTAGAAATGTCATAAAAGAGGACTCCAGAATTCCAAATAATTCACTTTATAGGACCAAGTAAGGGCAAGAGATGCTTCTTGCCTGGAATCCTTTTAACCCTATGCAAGATTCATAAAAACCTATTCTGAAAAAAAGAAACCAAAAACCTATTCTGCCATTAGCTGGGAAATTTAAACAAATTATTTAAAAACCCTTCTTTCCTTCCCAAGAGCCCTGGTGGTGTAGTGGGTTATGTGTTGGGCTGCCAAACTCAGCAATTGGAAACCACCGTCCGCTCTGCGTTGGAAAAACCAAGGGTAGGAAGAGTTAGTCTCCGAAAGCCACTGTGGCAGTTCTACCCTGTCCTATGGGGTCACTATGAGTCTGAATCCATTTGATGGCAGGGGATTTTTGGTTTCCTTCCCGGTAAAAGGGAAGATGTAATAGGTCGCCAGGAGCATTAAATGAGACTGTCTGTGGCTGAGTCCCCCAAAGCAATACTGGTGCTATGGTGCACTCTCCGCTTCCTGCCCGCCAGCTTGTCTGCAGGCCAGTTCCCGGAAACCATTGTTGTGGTTCACAGCTTCTGAGATGTGTGCGCTCATTAGAATTATGTGGGCATCTTCTAAAAAATGCCCACTTACCCAGGCCACCCATTAAACCAACGAACACAGCCAGGCTCTGTGGGGGGAGTGGACCAGCTCTTTCAGCCTTTTTGAGATCCTGCACTATCAAGTTCAGGAGTCAACGCAGTTTGATTTATTGAAGTTTTACAGTAACATGTGCCCACCCAGCGTTTCCCTAAGGTGGGAACTGGAAGACCTGGGCAAGTTCATCAGAGTCAGGTAGCGGAGGCTCCCCCCCCTCTGCTTTATTCTGCGAGTTGAATGCAGATCGCTTGCAAATACCTTAAGCAAGTGTGTCACGCAGGGAGGGGCGGGGTCGCCAGGGAGGGCACCCTGACCCCTGTCCCTTCAGCACAGCTGCTTAGCGGACCCTTAGGTATGCAGGAGGCGGTGACCCTTCACCTGCGGCGACTCAGGGCCAGCCCGGGAGCAGGGACGAACTCAGCACTACCCTCCTGGGGGCGCTGGGCCTGGGTTGCAGGCGCCGCCGCGGC